TAATGGAGATGTTGCATGTGTGAGGAATTTGCGATTTGACTGTTGAATCTTGGGTAAAAGGTCACGAGAAACACGATGGTGCCACTGGTTTTCTCTGAAATCATCTCCCAAGCTTAAAAAAAAGCTCTCAAGTTGAGGCCAAAATGGAGGGAATATCCCACCCTACCCTGAGAGTCCAAGTCTAGATCAAGACCAACTCTCCATGCAAAGATAGGGAGCTAATACATTGACAGGGCTACCAATTTATCTGGGGACTCCAAAACTGAAAACACGGCAACCCTGCTAATGTATTTGCTCCCTATCTTTGCATGGAGAGTTAGTCTTCATGTAGATGTGGACTCTCAGGGTAAGGTGGGATATCCCCTCCATTTCGGCCTCAACTTGAGAGCTTTTTTTGAGCTTGGGAGATGATTTCAGAGAAAACCAGTAGCACCATTGTGTTCCTCGGGAACTTTTATACAAGAATCAACAGTTAAATTGCAAATTCCTTGCTAATGTAACATCTCCATTGGGCCAAAATGCACCGATATCAATACCTCATATGTTACTTGATTCCTCGAAAATTCTCCTCTTGGACTTAGCCGAAAAGTGTGGACACTTTTTAGCCTCCAGCGAAACCTAGAGTCTATACGGCTTCGCCGCACGACTAAAAAGGAATCTATCTAAGGGATGGGTTGGATTTTTGATAATAATTTTTACACCACGCCGATTCGGGTAAAATTTGATGCTCAAGCTTTGGCTGAGTGATGAAACAACATGACTCAGCCTGAACTGATACAGGGATTGCTTGAAGTTACGCTGCCACAGACTCATTTTTTGTAATGCAATTCCAAGCAAGAATTTGATTACATGAAACAAGGTTTAGGTATTCAACTCGACTCTTGAGCGGTTTCTGCCTGCACTTTGTTTCAGCCTTTAGATGTATGAAGCTCTCTTCATCCTAACGTCATACGCATCCCTACCTGAAATGTGTTTCCCAAACCATCACACTGATGTAGATAGGCTCCTTTTGTGTACATTGATCCATATGATCATAACTACTAGACAATCGATTCGCAATTGCTTTATCTCAAAACAAATTTTACGATTTTTATTTCTCTGAAAACCTCCAGAAGTTTAACTGTGAAAGTAACTTTTTGGCGTACCAAATAAAGTAGGTATTTTTTATTATCCTAAGTTTAAGTTTCTACACTTTTCCCAACCAAGTTTTACTTTATAATAACCAATTTTAAATATGTTGGCTCTTAATCATTAGAGGACCACTTTAAAACTGATCTCTTCCATCATTTGACTCTTCTTCAAATGGAGCATAAATGAAGTTTTCACATTAAGCTTTATTTTTTTTCAAAGAGCCGATGCATTTAATGAATCTGTCTTCGGTGAAATTGAGACCTTATTTTAGGCTCATTACATTTTTCAAATTTTTATCTGAGTGAGCTGGTCTCAAATGAAATTAATTACAGTACCCTAGGATGTTTCTGATCATTTAAATTTTCGAATTCGAAGGAGGTCCTGGTCTTGAAAGTTTATACATGGATAGATTAGAAGCCTTGTGCAAGGAAAACATTTACAGAACATGTTTCCCAGGTGCTCAAACGACTTAAGTGACCCTGACCTGATCTCAAGGTCAGCCTATAGACGGATGTACTGATCTGTTTAATTATGATGCACTGGACTGTTAGTCCAGAATTCCTTGATTTTATTACATAAAAAATAAAGAATTGACAAAGCTGTACAGCCTAAATGAGGTGTCACTTCAAGTTGAAACTTTGCCTGGAAGTTTGCTTTAACGTAAGCTTTCATTTGAGCCTTGTCCCGTTGACCAACTCGGGTATCCAAAAAAGGGCGAAACTTGGCGAGGCTCTTTTAACCTGGGTCATTTAAGTCGTTTGAGCACCTAGTAAAAAGATTCTGTATTTTTTTCCTTGCCCAAGACTTCTAATCCATCCACATATCAACTTTTATGACCAAGACCTCCTTCGAATTTGAAAATTTAAATAATCAGAAACACCCTAGGGTACTGTAATTAATTTCATTAAAGAGCTCGAGGATTCGATTTTTATCATTAGGACTTGAATGAAAAAAAGATTGCAGCAGAAAATATTCTCCTGGCAAGACAAGAGTGTTAATAAGTGCCAACTAGTTGAAATGTTAGCACCTTAACATTTTATTCGATTGGCTTGGGATCGTTAGAAAATTGAGAGGAATGATCTCCCCTAAAAAGAAGGGTTTGATACTGTAACACAAGAGCTTCAAGAGCTTTAACTGTCTAATACATTTAAGGACTTGTTCATTAAGTCAGTCCAATTCTTTGCCATACAACTTATGATTGATGCAGACTACAGATACTTAAAACATGAAAGGTACAAAAAATTAACAAGCTAGTTTACAAATGTATACTGATGCTGATCATCAGCCTTCTATGAATTTTAATCAGTCTAGTTTGGTGTTAAAGACGCGTCTAGCATTGTAACAATGTCTTCAATTCTCAGAACAAACAAAAAAGGTGTCACGTACAGGACTCATGAATACAAATTACTAGAAACATAAAAAACTTTTCCATCAACCAACATACACTTATGATGATACAGAATATTTTAAAAAATTGAAGAATAAAAGAAATTTAAAACATACAACATCTGATCTGAAAATCAAGATTATACGTGTAGAGGGATGTTGAAATGTAAACTAATAAATAAAAAATTCTCTCTTCACTTCAGTCTTAATTTCATAGGGTTGGTTGGGGTAATTCTGGATGTGCATCATGAAGGTCGTAATATAATGGTCAGGGAATTTTCGCGCTAGTATGTTGCTGCCAACATTCAGTTGGTCACCCTGAATGATTTGCTTCTCATTTTCTGTTTATTTACGAGTGATAACGGAAGTTACCGTGAAGGTGTGTAAGGAGAATCAAATTATAAAATGCATAGCTTCCCTCCTAAGTGTTATAGGTAAGAGAAATTATCTTCATATTCAACAACCATTATTTTTATAAGTAATTCTGTTTATGAAAAACCAATTTTGTCTGTTTTTCGAATGATCAATGAACCTCTGTCTAGATTGAGATTAAACCGGAATCATTCCATCGGAAAAACACCTTGAATAAACGGAATTACACCACCGGTGTTTTTCCGATGGGGTAATTCCGGTTTAACCTCAATCTGGACAGAGGTTCATTGATCATTCGAAAAACAGACAAAATTGGTTATTCATAAACATTACAACTTAGAGAAATAATGGTTGTTGAATATTGAGATAATTTATTTTACCTATAACACTTTGGAGGGAAATTATGCGTTTTATAATTTGATTTTTCACGGTAATTCCCGTTATCGCTTGTAAACAAACAAAAAATGAGAACCAAATCACTCAGGGTGACCAACTGAACGTTGGCAACAATGTACTAGCGCGAAAATTCTCTAATCTCAATATTACGACCTCCATGATGCCCATCCGGAATTACCCCATTGCGGGTAGGGTAATTCCATACGCAACCAGGTAATTCCGGACGCAACGAAATAATTTACCAAAAACTTTTGACAACATTTTTTTCAACAAAAACTAGCTTAACTAGCTCTCCATGATATGAAAAGTTAGCTGATCTAAAAAATGTTGAATTCAATCGGTTTGACTGGTCCGAACCACAGGTCAGAGGACAAATTAGGTTTCGAGCGTCGAAATCTTCCGGAATTATCCCAACAAACCCTAATAAAATTCAACTTCAGTTGGTAAGATCTGACACAACTTGCTAACAATATTGACATCTGCGGCTTTTTGTTCCATTCAGAGATGCAAAATGAAACTTCTTGGAGTGAAATTTCATTCAGCTGCAAAGTAAAATTTTATTCTCCACAAAATTTCAATGATTGTTCAAGGGCTGCATATGCAACGCACAACAACTAGCTGAGAATTCGATAAAAAAAAAAAAAAACTCCTGAATTTGATTCATGATTTTTTTTTTTTTTTTCAAAATGAGGATTTTACTGTTTTCGGGCGTTTCACAGCATACTGAGTCCACTGCATAAGTTCCAAAAATCATTCATATAAAGAGGGGTATCGATAAGGGCTGTTTCTGGGCTCATCCTGAAATTCCTCGACTCCACGCTTCTTTGATCATTGAAGGTCTAAATTTTACGGGATGCATACTGATTTGGTCCATTTCCGCCTACTTCTGGGTCCATTACTTACCCAAACATGGGGCTGAAGGCCGATGTTGACGAAAAATGCGGGTTTTTCGGAATTCGACGCGCTGTTTTATTATGATCCCAGCAGAGGAGCAAAAAGCGCTTCAAGTGTGTTCATTAGGGGTGTAAGAGAGTCACTTTGGCCAATTTTCGTCGATGTCAATCAAACCTTGCGCTCATAGTTAAATCATTTTTTTTTTAGAATTTTCTTGTTTTTAATTATTATGTAAAATGGCTTAAAATGGGTGAATCATCTTACACGAGAATTGAATTCCTTCACCAGAAAATACACATATGTGGTCAAAACCTTCCTCTAAGAACCTTTCGTAGATTCAAAGTCCCCCAAAAAAGCCGGTGTTGCCTATTTCATTGCCTGAATTTGCAGAAAACCATTCAATTTTTTGCAAAATGAGCGCGACGAGGAACAGCCTCCGAATTAGAAATAGATTTCGGTGACTTTTTCTGGTCGGGCTCATTCAGCAAGTTTAAAAGCCTTTATTTTTAATTAATATCTTCCAATCTTTTTAATAAATATCATCCACTTCAGGAAAAACATGTCTATAAGTTGACTGCAAATGCAGTCACTCATGTGCACTGCGCATGTGTGTGTCACTCATTGTGCAACTATGCTGAACTTTAAAACATGTGAACTTGAAATAACTTTAAAAAGTAAGTATTTTCAATTAATTCTGAGAAGCAAAATTCTGAAGAACGGTCACTGCCGATAAAATTTGGGGGGGGGGGGTTCAGAAAGGGGCAAAATCAACATGGAGAACTGGTGATTCTGACTCATGACTCAAATATTTCTAGATGTCAGCTAGCCATCAAAGTTGAAAGTCGCATCCTAAAGCACACATGTCATTCCAAGAATTTGTTAGAGAATAGGTGGTCTGTAGATGCATGATCTTCGAACAATTGATACTGGCACATACGATCCACTTGCATCACTCTTACATATCTGTTCCATGCGCATGATCCGAAATAAATAGCGTAAAATCAGCTAAACCCGAATTTTTCTCGATTTTCACACATAATTGTTGGCAACACTGCGCCACAGCGGGAGATAAATACATGCATAAAACTCCTAGTAATGTTGTCACTACGTATAGAAAATTAAGGTCTTTGAACTTGCAGAATGAGCTCGACAAGGAACAGCCTCAAAATTCTGAAACACTAGGTTTTCCGTGAATTCAGGCAATAAAATAAGGCAACACCAGCTTTTTTGGGGGGCTTTGAATCCACGAAAGGTTCTTGGAGGAAGGTTTTGACCACATACGTAAATTTTCTGTTGATGGGGTTTAATTATCGTGTAAGATGATTCACCCTCTTTAAGCCATTTTAAATAATAATTAAAAACAAGAAAATTCTAAAAAAAAAATGATTTAACTATGAGCGCAAGGTTTGATTGACATCGACGAAAATTGGCCAAAGTGACTCTCTTACACCCCTAATGAACACACTTGAAGCGCTTTTTGCTCCTCTGCTGGGATCATAATAAAACAGCGCGTCGAATTCCGAAAAACCCGCATTTTTCGTCAACATCGGCCTTCAGCCCCATGGTTAGGCAAGTAATGGACCCAGAAGTAGGCGGAAATGGACCAAATCATTATGCATCCCGTCAAATTTAGACCTTCAATGAACAAAGAAGCGCGGAGTTGAGGAATTTCAGGATGGGCCCAAAAACGGCCCTTATCGATAGGTTTCCTTCCTTCATTAAAATATCATTTTATAAAGTTTCATGAAATTTTGCACCTCTGGTTCCATTTGCAGCCATTTAAACATTTTTAAAAACAATGCATGCTCCTGAAAAGTGACAACGAACGACAAATAAAAGGAAAAATCATGAAGAAAAAAATAAGCAACTGCAGATTCATATGACCATGGTTTTGGGAAAGTGAGCTTAAGGTAAAAGTCTGATGAATATAAGTAAAGTAAGAGAGAAGATGGTATAACATATAACATGAAATCAATAAGCAAACTCAAGTAATATGTTGAATAAATAACAAATTTGAATTTTTATGACTAATTGTAAAAAAGACAGTCTTGATTGATAGATACATCAGGAAAATACTCACCACAACAGAAGCAACAAATAATATAATTTCTTTAGTAGCACCAAATGAAGAACTAAGCAACACTTAAAGGGTAAGATGATTAAAAATTTTACATGAATTCTTGAAATTAAAAAGGAGAGAATGGAGTTTTAATGATGAAGACATCTTCGACATTCTTATTTATCTTGAACAATCTGTGATGCAAACACAGAGCATTCTCTCAATTCATTTGGCTGCGATTAGATAAAAAGTGAACAGCAATCTGGATCAGAATACCATCATAAGAGACAATGCTAAACATTTAACTTCAACCTCCGATCTATGGGATAAATTGAAGTTTGTAATTACATGAATGAAAACATAATTTATTCAGTGCATAATTTATTTATTTGAGTGCACAAATATTAGAGGAAATGGAGTCCCTTTATACCCAGAGTTAAGACAACTCGATTATCAGCTGACTGGCAGCCGGCCTTGGCTGGCCATGGAGGCCGAAATGAGTGCACCCAAACGAACGATATTGAGGGATAAGGATCAGGAATCCTGCGATGTCTGTCACACAAAAACAACAATAATTTCTTAATCTATTTTCATTTTGGACCGATAGAAATAACAATTTACTCTTGATAAACCACAATTAGGTAATATTCTCATTATTCTTGTTCACATTCGAGGTACCGCCATCTTGGTGCACTCGTTTCGGCCTCCATGAGCGAGAACCAATCAAAATTGGATTTTTTTTTTAGGCCACTTTCAGCCCAACCAAAAGTGAGTTGTCTTAACTCTGGGTATAAAGGGACTCTAAGAGGAAATTGTTGCAAATTGAGTGATTTTTTCGACTCCCCTCCGGTGAAGAGTCAGTAAAAAATGATCTGATATCTTAATTTTAAAAACAGAGCCTTTGTGATTCTTGCTCTTTCTACCTTTTAAGCTCCGTTTAAGGGCAAATTTCCACATTTCCTGCGGAAAACCCTCATAGCAACAGAATAAGCGATCAAATGCTACGAATACAATTAGATCATTTCTATGTTTTTCAATTTTGATTTTTGGCTTCTTGATAAAAAGTTACAGATCAAAATTCTAAAAGCATTTTTAGCACGAAAATTGTGAATAATTCAAATTCTCAAACAGTGAGCCAATATGGAGAAAAAATTGCTGGATAAAAATACTGCGATGTTAAAAATTTCTGTAACAACTCCAGAATATAGATACAAATACTTTGGTTGTTAATGGAACATTCCTTGACATTGAATTAATAATTAAAGAATTCATATCACATTGCAAAGTTCTCGCGTAGATTTTGAACATCCCAGGCTGTTAGTTTAGCAAAAGAGTAGTTCTAAATCTGCTGTTAAAACTGGGCTCCGAATGAAATCTTCTCATCTTTTCAGGAGTCGGAGGGCCCAGTCTGAGATGTCTGATATGCCCAAAAATGGTCGAATATTTTTGCCTGGCCCCCCTTTTTTTATTTTAACCGTCAGAAAAACGACTTTAAGTCGGACAGCATTTTTTTCAGCGGCATACCTAAAACGCTCTCTCTTATAAACTACAAAAATCTGATTTTTGGACTCATGTAAAATTTGTGACAGGCCAAAAATTATACTTCAAAAGAAACCTCTTTCAGTGGCCTTCCATTAAAACAAAAAACTCAATATCTTAAACCATTTGAAAGTTATGAGCAAAAAACTAATTTCTGTATGACCCTCCGCCCCTTCTCAAAGGAAAGCCAGGTAAGAAATTCGACCACTTTAGGGAGTTTTGTAGCATGCCCTACAATACTTGAAAGGATGAGAAGATTTCATTCAGGGCCCAGTGTCAATTTTTTTCTGTGTAATCATGAGATTATTTTTAAGATAATACACAACATATTACTTAGAGTGTATCATAAAACTAGCATACATTTACTACGGTAAAATAAAATTCATTATTTTTCTCCTTTTTTTCCATGCTTGTCTTTCAGATGAAAAAGATTGGAATAAGTAAATTTGCATGATACAAACATGCTGACAGAAATAATTAGTGCAATAGATTTAATTATTATATCATTACGAATCAAAGGAGGAGTATCGTTTTGGGCCTGGATTTTGCTGAATGTTTCATATTTTCAAATTACAAGTCCTAGGTAGACTCCATGCCAAAAATTATACCGAACAGAGCCTTTGCAAAGGTGCAGCAATGCCTCAAGCCCAAAATCCTGGCATTGAAAAATTTTTTATTTTCGTTGACTTTTTCGACTGTTTTCACTCTTTCAGCAGATGATTCCTACGTATTGTTTTGTGTCCTTCCCATTTCAGGCCTTTAAAATATTTCCAATGAATTTTAAAGGGCCTTACAGTTCATTGTTGCCATTTTTAGGGTTTTTTTCAATTTTAGACACGCAGAACTCAATTTAAATTAAGACCCATATATGAGGACTTATTATCTGTAACAATAGCGGATGTCGAGTTTTCACATTGTGAGAAAATCGCGTTTGAAGTTTTTGAAGCTTTGCACTTTTCTGCCCGTAGAACCGAGAGGATTTTCATAATAAGTTTCATGAAGAGTGACTCTTCCAGTAAAAAACACACGTTTTACCATCTATGTAAGTGAAAAATTGAAGGGGTAACAGCGATTTGAAAAAAATGTGACATCCGCTATTTTTACTGCTAACACTTTTTTATGCATGAAACAAAGTCTTCAGGAAGGGTAAGGCTGGTGAAACGATTGAAATGAACTAAAAGTAAGTCAATGCTGAGTCATTTAACAAAATTGATCAAGAAACTAAACCATTAGTAACTTTTACAACAAAAACAAGGAACAAATTCTAAAATCAGTAAAAAACTCAACAATTCTGGCAAGACGGCCCCAATACGTATAATTTGAGTGTCAGCTACAGCCCATGGCTGGTGGGAAGGCAGTTATCACAAGTGGGTTCGAATCTCCACTGTAACCTGCCGCGCCGGCCGGGGAAAACAGTGGATTCTCACATCCTCTGTTTTTACAAATAACATGGTTTTCAGTTCATACTTCACCGAAAAATTGCTCTGGAAGTCTGAAACTTTGCACAGGCTTTCTTGGAGGCTCTAGATTTCGAAAAAAGCGTTTGCCCTAAAAAAGGCGGATGTCAGCGACCGCTATTGTTACATATATGTCCTCATATGTTTTTGAAAAGAACGCAAAAAAATGAATAAAAAATGTTCAGTGAAAGATTTTTCTACGTTGCCAAATTTTCGAGAAAAATCGTTCCCAAGAGCCAAAAATGGTAAAAATTCGATAAATTGCCACGCCTACGGTTCAAGAAAGTGGGGTACAACTTTCATATTGACGTACGTAACAGCTCTAACCCATATGTACAACTTATCAAAAAATTATAGTTGTACCTGGATTCCCATGATGTGAAAATTGACCCGGATGTGGATTTTCGCAGCCTGTTTTTACTTGAAGGTAGCTCTTTTGAATGTTTTTTGACCTTAGTCACCCTCCATGGGTGTGAACTATATGTATTTTTCTACATATTTTTCGTATCTGGCCATAAAAATGGCTTCCTGTGAACTATAAAAGGCCTAACGGTCGATTTTTGCCAATTTTTACCAATTTTTAAGGGTTTCTTCAAGTTTGCGTGTGTAAAACTTAGTTTAATCTAAAACCGTGCACATTTTCGGAAAGAACGTAAAAAAATACATATATAACAGTGCTTCGTAACTTTTCCCTGCATTCCCAAATTTTCGAGAAAAATCGTCCTAAAGAGCCAAAAATGACAAAAATTGGATCAATCATCACATCGAAGATTCTAGGATGAGAATTTTAAGTTTCCGTTCACTACAAATAACGTATTCAATATGGAAAATTGCAATGTTTCTCACCGAACATGAAATGGCTCAGATGAGCATGACGCAACACCCTCAAAATGCTTCCACCTCATCCTTGACTCGATTTCACCACTTTATTCCTGGAACCTCAAAATAGTCCTTGGAACTCAAGATGCCTGCTACAGGCCAAATACCAAACAACAGAAATTGCACGAGGAAAATGTCCCACAATCCACATGAAAGTCGTAATTCACTTCCTAAAACCTTCGACCTGATGATTAATCCAATTTTTGTCATTTTTGGCACTATAGGACGATTTTTCTCGAAAATTTGGCGATGTAGGGAAAAGTTACGAAGCACCATTGTATATGTATTTTCTTACGTTCTTTCCAAAAATTTACACGATTTTTAGATTAAATTAAGTTTTACACATGTAGACCTGAAAAAACCCTTAAAAATTGGCAACAATGGACCGTTAGACTTTTTAAAATTCACAGGAAGCCATTTTTATGGCTACGTAGGAATATACGTATGAGTCATCTGCTGAAAGAGTGAAAACGGTCGAGAAAGTCAACGAAAATAACGATTTTTCAATGCCAGGATTTTGGACTTGAGGTGTTGCTGCACCTTTGCATGGGCTCTGTTCGGTAAAATATTTGGCATAGAGTCTACCTAGGACTAGTACTTTGAAAATATGAAACATTCAGCAAAATCTAGGTGGGGCCGGAAAAGGCCCAAAACAAAACGATACTCCTCCTTTGTGATTTCAGAAGGTAAAACTACCGAGAGGCAATCAGTAAAATTTGGCTTATAATGTAAAAAAAGTAGAGAGATCTTAATCAGCTTTTAAAATATTCAATGAGACAAAATTCCACACACGGACGCTTACTTAAAATGAAATTAGACATGGGTTTCACTGCCACTCGCTTTTGAAAATTTTTCCTTCCGTAATGCTTGATAAGAACAGAGACAGGTAAAATTGAGGTGGGGAAACAAAAAAAATAGGCTCTAGAACCAGCAATTAAATACATTGAGGGTAGATAGATCAGATTAAAGCTGATACATACTCTTGCTGTAATTGAAAGGAGAGTTGACTCTCCCCTAAATCTTTGAAAAGTAGCTGGTATAAGGAATCTAAACTTTATGCATACAGAGTGGCAACATGGCAAATCGTGCCTCTAGATTATAGAGAATCTTTTACTGAAAAAACGACATTCATTTTACAGCGACTATTGTGTGCTGAATTTCATTTAGCTTTTTTATTGTCTTGACACCAGTATTGATAGATGGTTGCAATCATTAGTCATATGAAGGTGGCTGCGTAGAATCAATTAAAAAACAGGTCATGCCCAGCATTTTGATCTAACTTCAAGAGTGATAAATGATGTACACGGTTCAAAGTTTTTTGCATTTTTAAGAGGTGCATGCTCTGAGGTTAAAGTGCACAAACACATCATGGCAGTATACATACAGTAAAAGTTTGTTAAGTCGAACTATGATTAAGACGAAAATCCGCTTAAGTCAAAATTTTCTTCGGTCCCGCGAAGTTGCATATGGAACAACGTTAAAAAAACTACGCTTTAGACGAATTCGCGAATTATTGAGCCAGGTGGAAAGCCGCTTGTGTCGAAATTTATTTTTCGAAAAATCCGGATTTTTACAACGAAAAACACAAAAAATGCGCAATATAGACGGGAGAAATGTAGAAAAGAGATTCGTTGCTACGTATACTACGCTACCTGTATACACGAAGGGAGTAGAGAAGTGACATCTGTTGGTTGTTATGTCCGAAAAATTGAATTTTTTTTATGCTTGGCATTGACACTTGACACTACGGAACACTAACTTCACTCATTGCGTTATAGAAAACACTGATTTGACTAAATTTCATTGATTTGGCTTAGAACTTAAAATTAAAAAGAGTAAAAGTTAAAAAGCGTTAAAAAGTTGAAAAGAAACAAAATCACTTAAAGAAATCGATAATTTTTAACTGCTTGTGGCGATTTATCACTCCGGAAATGAGCAAAGATTCCAGATTTTGAATACTGGCTATTGCGCTGTCGGCTCCTTCGCACTGACAAAAGAATTTTCCCAAATTGTCCACAGCTAACTGGGCATCTGCTGTGGAAGTCAGTTTTTGGTCGGGGGTGGCTAGATCCTCTTCACCATCATCTTCGGTGTCACATACTCCCATATGGGCCTCGACTAGATCCTCAATTGCCGCTTAAGTCGAATTTTTGCGATTTTTACGCTGATTTTGAGTTAAGCGGAGAAACGAATAACTCGAATTGCCGCTTAAGTCGAATTTTTCATTGGTCCCCAGACAATTCGACTTAACGAACTTTTACTGTATCTAAGATGCCGGTCCTAGAACCAGGTGATTTCAGCAATTGGAAATACACGATCGATTTAGGGCTGAGCAAGGGAAAGATTTTATTGATCATTCCAGATTCAGATGAGGTATCGAAAGTTTTCGAGGATAAAATAGAGACGAAGAAGTATTTGCAAGCATATGCTAGAGCATGCTTGATTATCACTCTAAGGGTAAGTGATAAGCCACCAGAATTTGTCAATGCACTCATTATGATTTTTGGACAAATTACTCTTCAGAAAGAACGCTTTTATCGGCTTTAACAAAGGCTCTAGCGGTCAGACTCAAGCATTTTGAATGATTTGGACACATAAACTTTTTAATAATCACCTGTGCTAGTGTCATGTAAAGCTGAGTTACAAGATTGGTGATCCTTGATTTGCAGGGTAGTTTTTCTTGCTGAATTGTGAACCAGAGAATCAATTCTGAAGAAGAAAAACAAATGTCCTCCAGGAGTGCAGTTTTTGAAGGAGCCCTTAATGTTGATGGAAAAAAATAGTAACTTTCACTCACAGCGGAAAGTTTCGGTAGAGCTAAACCCTATGGAAAAAAATAAATAGTGGCATCAGCTTGAGGGGAAAAAAGCTTAATCCAGAGTCCACACCCAATTACTTACCTACTTCATCTACTTTCAGAAAGCGATAGAGGATCTGCAGTTTCCATAGCAAGGTTTTTGGCCATATTTTTCTCCCGTCCCCTGACTCCTGGATAAATACAGGGTGATACAAAAGTCTTAGGACACCCCTGAAACTTTTGAACGAATTGAGATAGAGACTTGAAATTTTGACAGTGCTCTTGTGTCAAGGTAAACTACTTTTTTGACACCCCCCCCCCCCCCCACCCGGAGGAGAGGCTACGGACCCTAACTTTTTTTTCCAAATGGCAACCCTTACCATATGACACATCGTTGGATAGATAATAAAAAAAGAACATTTTTGGGGCGAAGTTCAGGTCGATAACTCAATTTTTGACAAGATAGCTGCCAACGGTGGAAACCAGTTTTGGAGGTTTTTCAGGAGTTCTTATCAAAGAAATTACCGGGAACCTGGTACCCAAGGGTTGTTTTACACAGAACATACGAATTTGATATCAGGTCATCGAAATTCTGACCTACATACTGCCATGCTAGGGAAAAACGCCGTTTGAGCCATCTAGTGCGGTCGCTTAGCTCAAAAATGCACGATGATACGCGGTTTCCGGCTACCAACGTGACTTTGGTCTTAAAATGACCGTTAGACCCTCCTGACTCAGAAACCACCGGGAGCCACTCGCGCTCTCCCCGTTTCCCCCCCCCTTTTGGCCGCCATCTTGGAAAATGGCGGCCAAAATCGGGTTTTTTCAAAATATCTCGAGAACGGTGGCAGATATCGAAAAATTTTCTTAGTTAAATAAGATTCAGCGTGAAAAAGCGGTATGAATGAAGTACTCATACGTAAATAATATGAGAGAAGGGAGGGGGGGAGGGGGAGGCCCGCTGCGCGCTCCTCTGCTCCTCAGCTGTCCTGCGAAAAACTCGCTGTTCCGGCGGGCGCGCGTCATCACCCGAGGCGTTGCGCCCTCTGGTAATCAAGCAATTAATAACTGGACACTTGAATCTTCCTGCCTTTTTACTTGCTGTGCTCTGGATAGGTTGGTAGATATAGACAAATTTGAAACCAAAGTAGGTAAAGCACCTTACATAAAGAATTACCAAGAAATAAATATTTAAGTATGAACTGTCATGAATGAACATACAAAATTAGTCACGAACAAGTAGAAAATTAGAGTCAGTCCTGACAGGATAGTACGTACGTAATTCTGCTTCTCCGTAGAAACATCAGGGTGCCTCCTATGGAACGCCGTTTGTACGAAAACCTATTTTCAGGGGGAGAAGTGATTTTTCTTGGGGGAAGAGCAATTTTCGTCGGGGGAGAAACACTTTTTCAGGGGTGGAGAAACTTTTTTAGGGGTGGAGACACTTTTTCTATGGGTGGAGAAGGAATTTCAGGGAGGCGTGAGAATTCTGTGCTCCACTCTCCCGATGAAAATCTTTCCGTCCCTGATCGTGAATATATCGAATATCTGGAGGAGAAATGAAAAAAAATCCTTCCCTCCGCCGTGCGTTCGATATCGCGACTGCTCGGTGCGGAGAAGGATCTTGCTGCGCCGCGACTGCTTTCGATATATCGATTGAGCGCGGTGGAGAAACGTTTCTACGCGTGGATCCACTTTTTTTCGCGGCGATCCACTTTTTCGTGGGGAGGAGCCGATCGCGACTGCTCGGCGCACAATGGTCCACAGACTGGATTTAACGGATCTTTATTCGAAAATGCAATGCACCGTTTTGAAAGTTGAAGGAGCTAATCATTTTAGGGTCGCGGATTTTATTGTACATCTTAGTGAGTGAAACAAAATATTAACATCCTGACCGAGAAACTTGACTTTAATTGTGATTTCTGACGCTTTTAAGACTCAAGATTTTTTCTCCTATTACGACAATAAAGAACATATATAAACAATTGTTTTTTAAAAAAAAAGTCTCCCGGTCGTGATCAGGTGATTTGAATGTATTTTTAGGCGCTGAATTCGAATATGACCTCCGTTTTTGTGCATCGCCCTTCAATCTTGGGCAGAAAATGGGCATTTTTGGTGTTTTTGCGACTGTTGACCCCCGCATCATGTAGGTAAAATTTTTCTCATGTACGAAATTATACTACTCTCATATATTTTGAGCCGCTGAGTCCAAAAATGACCTTCGTTTTTTCCTTTCATCTTTCACTTTTCCGAAAAAGCGACTTTTGCCCGGGAAAATGAGGAAATTTGACGTCTTTTTGTGATGCCTGCAATTCATTTTGGTACATTTTCCTGGACCCACGGTAGAGTTGTTCTTATGTATTTTAAGCTGCTGCTAAATCCGAATATGACCTCGGTTTTGTTTATCACTCTCCAGCACTGCGATAACGCTAATTCTTCCGAGCCTTTCTTGTAAAACCTTTTGCGACCCCAAAGTCTATTAAAAATATATTGTAAAAATGTTTTCGATGTGCGATACATCGATTCTTATGTATTTTGACTTGATGACCTTTGATTTTCACTATCACACCTGTTTTTCCCGGCAAAGTCGATTTTCCTCGGAGAACCAGCTTTTTTCGTACTGTTGCGACGATTTTCCTGTTCTGAGGAGTTTTAGATATTTTCCGAGATCCTCTTTAGGTCTGCTCTGATGTCTTTAGAGTCATCGAACCCGAGTTTGACCTCTACTTGCCTCTGACAAAGCCTCGCTATCCTTAGACCTTTAGTCCTAAAAGGGTCAGAAATCACAATTAAAGTCAAGTTTCTCGGTCAGGATGTTAATATTTTGTTTCACTCACTAAGATGTACAATAAAATCCGCGACCCTAAAATGATTAGCTCCTTCAACTTTCAAAACGGTGCATTGCATTTTCGAATAAAGATCCGTTAAATCCAGTCTGTGGACCATTGTGCGCCGAGCAGTCGCGATCGGCTCCTCCCCACGAAAAAGTGGATCGCCGCGAAAAAAAGTGGATCCACGCGTAGAAACGTTTCTCCACCGCGCTCAATCGATATATCGAAAGCAGTCGCGGCGCAGCAAGATCCTTCTCCGCACCGAGCAGTCGCGATATCGAACGCACGGCGGAGGGAAGGATTTTTTTTCATTTCTCCTCCAGATATTCGATATATTCACGATCAGGGACGGAAAGATTTTCATCGGGAGAGTGGAGCACAGAATTCTCACGCCTCCCTGAAATTCCTTCTCCACCCATAGAAAAAGTGTCTCCACCCCTAAAAAAGTTTCTCCACCCCTGAAAAAGTGTTTCTCCCCCGACGAAAATTGCTCTTCCCCCAAGAAAAATCACTTCTCCCCCTGAAAATAGGTTTTCGTACAAACGGCGTTCCATAGCCTCCAAGTAGAAATAAATCAGCGTGACAAAAATTAAATTTGTTATAACCTGTTGGGTGTATTGCAACGGTCTCGCAAAAAAACCAAAATAAAAGGAAGTATAAATTACAAATAAATGTTAATAAAATACATTTTTGACGGAAGAGTAAATGGACTACATTTTGCAAGTTGAAACTATAAATTCTAGATCGGTTTAAAACCAACGTACGCGCCATTAGTTTCCCTACGCTTATCCCTGTTATTCAAGAAGAGCCAGAATTTATAGTTCCAAATCGCAAAATGCAGTCCAAATGTTTGGCATGAGAGGATAAATTCTTTTGGTATTCATGACCTAAGTTTTGCAATAAACTAGTACGATATTAGTGCGGTTGTTTGAAAGATGGATTCAAAATTAGAGTGCTTCGGGCCAGTAAGTTGGAAATGCAAACCTTTATGAGCATTGCCCATCATATGAACAAAGTGCTGTGCACTTTAAATTAAAGCGTTAGCACTTGTAATTTTTTATAAACATTGTTTTACATCCACAAGATATTAGCTCGTAGCACTCTTTCGAAGCCTGTGATAGGGTGGTCCACAGTGGCACGATGGCGAGTCTCTCAGTGATCTCAGTTCTACTTGTCCAACCACAAGATTTCACATCGGGAACAACTGGATTCAGCTCCAAGCAATGCTTCCTCAGTGGGAGGAATGTCTCAACCGATCGATTTTTTTGAGTGTACAAGACTCTCCTGCAGTCATTGACGGATTTTGCCTGGCTGGACGAGTCATAAACGAAAATAGTGAAGAGCTGCATTTTTTCAAAATCATTATTAGAAATTTCGTTACACGATTAAAGCGTCAAAAATGTTCCAGTTAAATCATTCTCCAATTTATTCCAGATATTCCACGCCTTCGTCTTGCCTTCGTCGTAGAAAGACGATACGGAGTCACAACCTGTAAACGCATGGAAGAATGTCAGTGCGTTGCGCATATCCGGCGAGATTTTCGATGTTAATTTTTAGAAATTTGGATTAAACTCCTATTTTTACCAACTCCATATTCTACGAACAGGTCCTGCAAACCGAATTCTTTCAAAGTTTGGAACATAGAAGTTGCAATCACGATGACATCAGAATCCACAGTACTGAGCAGTACAAACTTATGACCAGATAGAACAGCATTCTTAATATGAATGGAAAGTCTAGTATCTGCCTCCTCGTGGAAACACGGTGAAATATCGGCGCTTGAAACCAAATTTCCAGCTGAAACGATCGATATACGTCATCAGTGCAAATGACGATCTTACCCATTGTCTCCATAGATTTGATGTCTTGTGCAAGTAATTGAAATAACTGAGTCTTGTTACAATCAACTTGCAAGAAATGGCCAAAATTTTTAGGTAGAGGCGTTGAACCTTTTACGAGAATTTCTCTTCCGGACCCTCTTTTCTCCCTTATGTCTGATTTTAAGCTATAAAAGGCGGATATCTGTCGAAAACAATATCAACCCTGTCAAAGCTCTGCAGTTGACGCTTAATTGCTGACTGAAAAACTTTTACAGAGAATTCGGAGAATGTTTTAGCATTTGATTTATTTAAGGTATGCACCAACACAGCTCCATCAATTACGTTAGCGGTGCACGGGTTTACACAAGTTTCCAAGTTATTTGAATCTGAGCCGCTTAGAACCCTACATCCAATGATACCGCTAAAGTCTAAAATGAACCAAATTTCAAATTAGGTTTCCATTAAAAAGAAATAGATTGATAAGGCACTTATTTTCCACCCACTTGAATTCAAATTGTTTAGCAAAAGTTTATTTCTGAATTGAACTTACCTATTTTCTGTCAAATTTGTCTATATCTACCAACCCATCCAGAGCACAGCAAGTAAAAAGACAGGAAGATTCAAGTGTCCAGTTATTAATTGCTTGATTACCAGAGGGCGCAACGCCTCGGGTGATGACGCGCGCCCGCCGGAACAGCGAGTTTTTCGCAGGACAGCTGAGGAGCAGAGGAGCGCGCAGCGGGCCTCCCCCTCCCCCCCTCCCTTCTCTCATATTATTTACGTATGAGTACTTCATTCATACCGCTTTTTCACGCTGAATCTTTTTTAACTAAGAAAATTTTTCGATATCTGCCACCGTTCTCGAGATATTTTGAAAAAACCCGATTTTGGCCGCCATTTTCCAAGATGGCGGCCAAAAGGGGGGGAAAACGGGGGGAGCGCGAGTGGCTCCCGGTGGTTTCTGAGTCAGGAGGGTCTAACGGTCATTTTAAGACCAAAGTCACGTTGGTAGCCGGAAACCGCGTATCATCGTGCATTTTTGAGCTAAGCGACCGCACTAATCTCACATTGCTAAGTTTCCTTTCATAAAATACAAATTTATTGGAAAAGTTATGAATTTTTATTCCAATTTTTCAGATAATATTGTTCACAGTTTAATCTAAAATATGCGAAAATTTGAAAGAAAAATGTGCATGACTTCCTTTCAAAATAAACATTTTATCAGAGAAAATTTGACAACTTTCAAATGTTTAAACGGCGTTTCTCTTTAGCACCGCAGCATACATGAAGCTGCTGCGATCTGTTGAATTATGAAAAAGAGCCATCAGCCTATGTCACACTATCAAAGCTAGCCATCAAAATCTCAAGATCAGGTGTTGTGATTGGCTAATTCGATGACTTGGACCAATCACAGCACTTTACCTTGACATTTTGATGGAGTATTTTGATAGTGTGACACAGGCCATTCAAAACACATGAAAGTGGCAGCAGTTAGTTAACAAGCACATGCACAGGGAAAGCCAACATATACATGCAGACTTGTTCAGCAGTCCTGCCTAGTTTTCTTTCTTCGATATTAAAATACAATCCACTTCAACTTCATTATTGCTCTCTGATTCTCATTGTCTTTCTTTATATCTTTCCAATTCAGCCTGAAACCGAACACCGATGTCATGTTGAATCACCAAATATTTTTCATGCATTGGAGATCTCTGAAATGCCATACTTTCATTTTTCAAAAAATAAGAATTAAAGCTGCAGGGTTCCTATGTAAAATCTTTTAAGTAAAACCGACGGATACGCGGTATATTCCAAACATCTGGAAAGCCATCATATTTATTATATATGCCGTCAGTGAAACTCCCAAACCAAGTATCTCCTTCACGCTGTTGTACGCTTTTCCCTGCTATTTTATTTTTTATACACAAAAAATCAAAATCATTCTTCGAAATTTTCACAGAATTTTGTTCACAATGAGAATGCAAATCATGGCAGTATTTAAGAATTGCCGTTGATTAGTTTTCCATGTAAAAGGACGTCTGCAACATCCCAAATTGAGATTTATGGTTTGAAAGTTTCACTGTTGGTATAAAACTTCATCTGGGGATGGGCTAAGCTGTTCTAGTGTTCCATGCTTGCTATACTGAGCCTCCACAACAGTTGAAGGGTTCCTACCACCTGAACTTTTAGGGGTGACCTCAAGTCACACCTTGCTTTATGAGCTTTTACTTTCTCGCTCCCCTAGGGTAGAGAGGAAGTATTGTCATCCTCCAAGAAGAAAAAAAAAAAAAAAGTTGAAATTTCATCATTTCTAGACGTTTTAAGGTCCCAGGAGTCAAAATAACCATACTTGAAAAAATGTGTGTCCGTCCGTCCGGCGTCCCCCAAATCTGTCTACAGCGATATCTCAGAATCTATCAGTTCGATTTCATTCAAAATTCTCACAGAACACCGTATTTATGGTCTCCTTATGCACGTCCAACGATTTTGGGGTACGCTAAAATTTGGGGGGGCTAGGGTCAAATTGGGTTAAAGGTCCATTTTCAGCAAAATTACACGGAAAGCTCATTTTGAGGGACCGTAAATTTTGAAAAATGCCTTTAATTCTTTAAAAAGGGGCATCAAGCACATCACCTGGGTCATTAATTTAAGTTCCTAAAAGATCTTTGGACTAAACTCAAAATTCAAGGGATTACGAGGCCCAAAAGTAGGGCACTTTGCTCCGCGACATCACACAAACAACTCATTTTCAAAGACTGTAAATTTGAAAAAAATGCCTTTCATTTCTTCGAAAGTTGGCATAAGAGCACCACCTGGTTCAATAATGTAAGTTCCTATGAGGTCTTTGGACTTAACTAAAAATTGAAGGGTTACGCGTCATATAGCGAGGAGAGCACTTCGGTCACACGGAGAGCTCATGGACTGTAGATTTTGAAAAAATGCCTTTAATTCTTTGAAAGTTGGCTCAAAAGCACCATCTGAGTCATTAATTTAAGTTCGTAAAGGATTCTTGGACTAATCTTATAATTGCAGAGGGGCCGATAGGAAACGCTCAATTCTCTGATAAATGAGTCGGAACGCTTCTAGATAATAGCAGCAAACGCTTTGAGTCAGGTGAAACCTAGGAATTCAAATGCATTATATAATGCATCATATACTATTTCCAAAATTACTCCGTAGGTATACACCAAGCAAAATTAGACAACTAATCAGGTAGGTACTTACATTATGTATATAGTTACTATGAGTCTTCAAGCTGACGCAAGAACTGACACTTACATCTTTATTAAATACTAATATGTTTGTTGTTGATGAATTTAGAATCCCGGCAGATTCCATCTTTCGCGGTTCCTTTTTACGAGGTACTAAGCACAAATATAATATGATAATACGGCACAAATATGACAGATTTAATGCTTGTTACTTAATAAAGGAGGTTATAAATGTTATAAATTGTTGTTTGTCGACAGCAGCAAGGAGATGGCGCTCTCAGCGCTCTCTATTGTTTTCGCTTTGAATTACAGGGATACGCGGTAAGGAGATGGCGCTCCTGGCGGGCGTGTGGTGAACCTTCCAGCAGGTAGATTCGCCCGCCAAATTTGAACATCGAATAGTCATTCTACCCATTCAAGTAGATATTGGATAGCTTTTGACCGTGCTTAAGGAGAGATTATAATATAAAATCGTATCTGAAGTATGATGTCAATGAATCTAATGGATCCTAATGAATCGTAGAAAAGCTAAGATTTTTACGGATCGCCATCTTTGACAGGAGACTTTGTTAATCAATTACATATTTAATTGAAGATGCCTCATAAAATCAACAAGTCGAGTCCGAATATATGAATTCATCACATATCGCGAAGACATTTACAATAAAGTTCAGTGGTTTGAATAAAAATTTCATAACTATTATCCTGTGATCAAAATTCCAATCAAACTTTATGATTTTGTAAAATTGGCAGTATTTTTCTAAATATCCCAGTAAAAGTGTCTATGCCGGCGCGAAGCGCCGGCTCGAGCGAGAAAGTCCCGTGCGGTCCCCGCACCAATCCGCTAAGCGGATGGGGGGGCGAAGCCCCCCAAATGCCGGCGCGAAGCGCCGCCCATAAATTGGCCGGAGGCCAATTTTTTTGTCTTGAACTCAATAGGAGAGAAAGCAAGATGCAAGGAAGAATGAGCTGCGACATGAGCTACACATTTTGTTCTGAATTAACTGTTAGAGAATTGATTTTGTTGAAGGTAATAAGAGATCGGTTACCTTTATCTATAGGTGATCCTAGTGGGAGTGAAGAGAATGAGGATGAGACACTGCTCTCCGCAGTAGTGCTGGTAGTCATGATTGGCTCATCACCGGGCAAGCAAGTTTCCACTAATGCTTCTAGACAATTGACAAACAGTTCCGCACTATCAGCAGTGCAATTTGCCTGTGAAAGAGAAAGTGAACGATCACAGAGACGAATTGCTGGTTTCAATGGTATTGGCAGGCTTTTTAATCGAATGGTGCTCCTTCCTGACCCTGTGTAGTTCAAAGTATTAGCGACATTGAACAGCTGAGCTGAAGTGCCAAGATCGAAGTTGCCATATTTTCATACTACAGAGACTGCTATAGTTATGTTCAGATTACACTTTCTCTCGAGCAGATTATGGTTTTTCTTATGAGCGCAAAGTTTGAATTTATGCATTGAAAGACGTTAATATCTTGGTAGGTAAGGAGTTAGGTACTTCCAATAATTTTTGTGGCACAAATGGCATTGTACGTCAACTATTAAAGAAAAAGCATACTTCATAATGCCTAAATTCGCGCCTGTTCAGTAGTCCATTGATAAAAAACTTTCAGCATAGTTGGGTTCCCTTCAATCTCAAAAGCAGCATCTTTTGCTTGAGGATCACAGAACTTAAAAATCAAAATCAACCTAAAAATATAAAGCTAAAAATTCAATAAATTCTGTAACTAAATGACAATGAACAGGTTAATCGACCTCCACAGAAGCAAATGCTGCATTTAAAGCTGCATGCAAGGATTGGGAGTCAAGTTAGCAGGCAAACTCGATGCAAGATTGACCTCTCGTCAGAGAGTCTGAGTGTGCACCCTCTGATGTGAGTCTACCCTTCGCATAAGACCAACATCAGTCTCTGCCCATCAAGTTCACCCTTTACGCAAGTCCAAAGGTAGACTCGCTGCACCTACAGACTCTCTGGAGAGAGTGGGTCCGGTCTCAACGACAATGCAGACTCGCAAGGGAGGGACTGTCTGGCCAGTAGATTAGGCTGCGCACTCATGGCATATTCTCGGAAGTGAACGTCGGGATTGTTGCGGGGATGCCAAAAGGTCACGAGCAGGCTGTGTAACTATAAACATTCATGCGGTTAACAGCAAGGATGATTTCCAGAAAGCAACCGGGAATCCCCCGTTTCGGCGGCGAAGCACTGCGAGTGTATTGACCCCTGTCTGCTAACAGGCACCCTTGAGCTTGAGTCTCTTCATACATTGAAAACTTGGAACTAAACCTCGTGGTTTGATACTGGGTGTTGGTCGACACTGGGTAGGTATCAGGCAAGAGATTCGAGATTGCTAAAAATCATCATGACAGACCAGCACCTCCAGTTCGAGTCTGCCTGTGACCCAACTGCCAATCTCGCTCTCTGCGTCTGAGTCTCTAGAGACTCAACTTGCGAGACCGTTAAAATCCCTGGCTGTGTGATGAACCTTTAAAATCCTTGACAGAATGATTAAAGATTTTACGGGGCTATTTTGGATGAAAAATAGAACACCTTCTTTAGGCATGAATTTAAAGGCGCGAAAAAGAATGGGCCTGTTGCAAACTTTTGCCAGAGCAGAATTAAGAGTTGTTTCCTATAGATAATGCCTCAAAAGTCACAATGGGCGCATCGGCAAAGTCTGAAATGCACTCATAAATTCACAATCTGCGTAAGAAATTTGCGTTTTTTTGAGCTTCCCGCTTCAAAAACGATACTACTGCACAGGTGAACATTCTATTAGAGGAGTCGCTCCATCGTCGGCAATATTCATCATGGCCGACGCTTGCGCAGCTCCTCGCGTAATTCGAGGAGAGTTCTAGGTCAATCAAGGCGGGCGAGGACAATATGAACGTAAACACGTCGATTGTTATCTGATTTAATCCTGTTCAGGTGTCATCTCGTCCCATCACACGTGTTTTGGCGGATTGGCGTCGGCCATGATGAGTATTGCCGCCAATGGAACGACTCCTCAAAATGTTCAACAAAATGTTTACCCGTGCTGTAGTATCGTTTTTGAAGCGGGAAGCTCAAAAAACCGCAAATTTCTTACGCAGATTGTGAAGTTATGAGTGCATTTCAGACTTTGCCGATGCGCTCATCGTGATTTTTGAGGTATTATCTATAAGAAACTACTCTTAGTTTTGCTCTAGCAAAAGTTTGCAACAGGCCCATTATGTATAAATGAATTCAATCAAGAGGAACTAGCAGGTACGCAAATCTTGCATACATGATTTCTTTTGATTTCATTGATCTGTACATAGTAATTCGTCCCAATAGCATAGATATATCAAAATGTAGATACAGAAATATAAAAAGATGGGAACATACCTTAGTGAAAGGGCCTGCAAATCTCCATAACCCCCCAAACCCACAAGACTGGAGATAGTGAAGCTGTTGTTGACTGGTGTCTTCTGCAGCTATCATATTTTGAATGATGTTTTGCACAGCACTCAAAATAATTTTGTCATGGCACATTTGAAGAACACTTGTCAGTTTGGCATCCAACAAAGAATGACTGAGGAAAAGAAGTGGTAAAAGATTAGAAACATGGGGGCTTTCTTTTTCATAGATAAATAAATGTTGAGAAAAACAATTTCAGCCTTAGTGGAACACCTTTCTTCTGCAGGGCGACATGGACTCTGACTTTCTTTTTAAAATGCAGCCCCTAATTTGTGATCGTTAATGGAAAGATCATAAAAAAGAAAATTTTTAGCATGAATCTCAGGTATTACCATCTCTAATTGTAAGTTTAAAAGAACAATGTTTTCCCGCCATCAATTACCGTTTCAAAATGGCGAATGGTTACAGTTAAAAAAAGGACGAAAAAAGTATCTTAGCAACCAATAAAAAGATTGCTTTAAACTTAGATTGTGGAGCATTTTTGGAATACTGAGCCTGAATTTAGTTTTTTTTTTTTTTTTTTTATGTAGTGGGAATCTGATATCTTTCCAGTTTTCCAATGGTTCTACAAAATACTTAATCTTTTCCAAGATAACAGCTTTGGTTTGGAAAAATGCTCATGATCAGAAGGTCTCTAGGTCAGTCCACCCCAGCTGAAAAATGAAACCTCTAGTGCGCATGACCTCAGCAGGAGCTTAATCCAGCGGAAAGTTTGAAGATGCGGCTATATCAGCCGGGTAAATCTCTTCAGCTAGCTTCTGCTCCTACTGTAATACAAGAAAAACTCTGGTGGATGAGCTGAGCGGGCAGAGAGATCAGCGCAAGGACTAACCTGGCGCCTGACCATGAAAAATGTCCACTTCTCGCCCATTTATTTTAAGACCACCATTCATTTGAATAAAAACTTGAAAAAACGAATATCAAATTCATAATTAGCATTCCAAAAGACCTCCCCCTCCCCCTCCATACAGTAAATTTGGAACGCGTCCATTTATTGGTTGCCAAGATACTTCTTCCAAGTATTTTTAACTTTAACCTGCCGCCATTGTGAAGTGATGATAAAGACCTGAGCTCTGTGTCAAATTCTAATGCGCACACCACAGTCACTTTAAACTATTCTTACGGCCGTGTGAAAAATGCGCTCACTATCTAAGTTCTGCTGAGTTTGATGAACTTCAAAGGAATGGTCTTATGGCCTTGCTGTGAAATGGAGTCTAGATATTTTCATCAGTATTTTGAAAATCGACAGCATCTGTCAAAACAAAACCTGGTACACAGGCCCCATTAACAAGAACAGACATATGTGATAGCATGACACGGGCCATGCTGAAAAAAATGTTCAAATATTATTAAGCCAAAAAGAAAACATTATAATTCTTACATCACAGGAAAAACTTTGGGGAATGCAACTGATGCATGAGCTAAATATTGATACAGAATCCTTGTTTCATTTTCATCTGAAGCATACTTGACCAATGTGGCCAACACTGTTAGAACTAAGGCTTGAGTTGAGAAATCAACCAAAACTTGTGGGTCTAATAAAAGATTGTTTTCATTGGAGAGCGAAGTCCTATCATTCTGCTCCTGAAAAAGGGAACATACATTCAAAACGAGTGCAGCTTTCATCAGCAAAAACATTTGAGATACGGAAATTTAACAGGTATGGGAGTAGTAATTTTGCATGAGTCAGTTGTCACGGATTTATGTTGGGATATCTAAAACTTACAGAGAGGGCATGCATAATACATATCTGTTTAAATGAAACGTATCAATAAATATATTCATTAGTTCTATCAATCTTTAAAAATAGATCTTCAGCTCTTCCATGATGCTAACTGGGTACAATCGATATATTTCAAATTTTATTTCAAATTTTAACTACTTGGGAGATTATTTTGGGAAAATCGAAATTTCAGTCTGTAGAATAATCATTAAATAATATCTGTGCCAATAATCATCCTCCTTTTAAAATACAGTCAAATGTACCGTTTCCATTTTGCAACCAATTTCAATGCATTGATATAAATGGTTAATTGGAAAAAGTCCTTGAACGCAAATGAAAAGGAGGGAGGGCTTAATATAATTAGAAAAAGAGGAAGAATCAGATATGCTGCAGGAAGGATACGATTCTGCTGAATGCAGATGTTGCGTTCGTGATGATGAAAGGGTTAATATGATAGTATAGCGCATTCTAGAATCAACTTTTGTTCTTTCCCTCCTGCTAGGAGGCTGGTTTGAAACTGGAATGATCTTCCTTTGGAGCTGCAACACTGTATACAGGGTGTACCAAAAGTCCGTCCCACCCCTGCTAACTTTTGAACGAATTGAGCTAGGGTAATGAAACTTTGAGAATGTTCCTATCTCAAAGGGGACCATCTTTTTTGGGGGGGGGGGCTCAAAATTTTTGTCCCCCCTCAGGGGGGCGCGGGGGGCCCCCAACTTTTTTTTTCAAATGGCAACCCCTATCTTGTGATATCTCATTCGAAAGAGCATTAAAAACTAAGACTTTTGGCGCAAACCGCAGATCATTATCTCAATTTTTGACCGAGTTATGATAGGTCAAAGGTACGTCAATTCAAAGGTCATTCAATTTTCCCGCGAAATAAGCCAATTTCCCCTAGATTTCCCTCCACATCATCTCAGTAAGGTCAAAATCAGTTCAACATTACGTTGGCAAGTCCCCAATTTTCGGGAAAAGTTAAAAAAAAAAGAAATTTAGACGGTCAAATTTAATCACCATCAATTTCGTTTTTTTTAACTTTTCCCGAAAATTGGGGACTTGCCGACGTAATGTTGAACTGATTTTGACCTTACTGAGATAATGTGGAGGCAAATCGAGGGGAAATTGGCTTATTTCGCGGGAAAATTGAATGACCTTTGAATAGACGTATTTGGGGGTCCGAGCCCCCCCTTAAAATTGAATTGAAGTGATTTCTGCAATTTTTACCTAAAAGCGGACACAATTTGGTAAATTTTCCCGTTTAATTTTTTTCTTTACGATAATTTGAACCGGAGTTATGATTTTTTGAAAATAAGTCAAATTTGACCTTTGACCTATCATAACTCGGTCAAAAATTAAGATATTGATCTGCGGCTTGCGCAAAAATTCTTAGTTTTTAATGCTCTTTCGAATGAGATATCACAAGATAGGGGTTGCCATTTGAAAAAAAAGTTGGGGGCCCCCCGCGCCCCCCTGAGGGGGGACAAAAATTTTGACCCCCCCCCCAAAAAAAGATGGTCCCCTTTGAGATAGGAACATTCTCAAAGTTTCATTACCCTAGCTCAATTCGTTCAAAAGTTAGCAGGGGTGGGACGGACTTTTGGTACACCCTGTACATTTGGTTCATATGAAGTTATTAGCAAACGGATTGTATTGGATCAAATAGAAAAATACTTGATGTTGTTTTTTGAAGATTTAGGTGATTGTTTTTCCTTTATTGTAGAATATTTTGTCACAATCTTAAGCTATGATGTTGGTTTGATCTCTTTTAAATAGTCAAAAGGAAGCAGAGATTTTGAAACACAGGAATTGAGATTCAGGGTTTTGCAGTTTCACCACCGAAATTCAATCTTATGAAAAATCAATAATAGAATGGTGATAGATCTGTAAAAGAATGTTGAATGTGATGAAACCCCCAGATAAATACATATAAATGTTGACAGACCTGCATTTGTTTCTGATGGCGTGCATGAGACATAGCAGCTTCATCAAGAAGATCCCATGACTTTTGTCTTCTACCTGTCCCAAAATCAAGCTTTTTCACTCCAAGAGGAGGTACAGCCAACTACAAAACATGCAAAAAATTAATGATAAAATTGAAGTTTCCAGGGCCAGAAACTTTGAAAAAATTTACAACAAAAAAACTCATGATGCAAAAACAAAAGTTTTCGATCAACACTTTGGTCGAAACGGTTGCGTGTCCATCATGTTAAGGTAAAATTGTAAATATATTAACATCCTCTTGCACGTAGTTTTTTTTTTCTTAAAGCATGGTCTGAGTCACAATCATTTCATATATTTGTAAAGTCGGCTCATAGCTAGACATTGGAAAATTTCGCCGCCGCGATTCGCCGCGAAATTTTTAAAATGTGCTTAGGAATCTGAAAACCAGACAGAAGCACCGTTCATAACCCCATGATCACGAAAATATAAAACGAAATGACGCGAAATCGGCCATTATCCGGATTTATCACGAAATCGCGCGGATCCCGCGAAATCCGTACATTTTCGTGATCTTTACGTATGTGCGCGTGTAGGACGTAATTTGCCGAGCTTTTTTTCACAATAAGAAATTACGGAGTTATTTCTGAGCGTTGGTCGTCATTGGCTACTAGCTATCAACGTTCGCCAATGACATCAAAATACTGATGAAAGAAATGGCGGCATAAGCATAACCTCAAATAATTTTAAAATTTTAACACAAGATCATATGAAAGCTTTGTTTTAAGTTGTCAAACGCAAAGAGCGCTACAAAAATGACGACGAAATCAGCAAAAATAACAGCGTAATTTGGGAAAAATAACCACGAAATTGGGGAAAAATAAAAGCGAAATTTTCCAATGTCTACTCATGGCTCAACTTTAGTTTTTGCATTATGAGAAGCCGAAAACTGAAAAATCTTGTTAAAAAACTCATATGTACCTAAATGACGAACTAAATGAAACAATTGGAATTCTGACATAAAATGTCAAGAAAAGTTTTAGCTATTTTTTTCTCTTTCTATCAAAAACTCCATGAATTTTCTGCAGGGTTAAAAGGTTCAAAAAATCTGTTGCTCAGAGTGATTAAATGAATTTAATACAGTAAACTCTTGCTAAGAGAGCACGCATTGGAACTGAGGTTTTGTGCTCACCCAGAAGGGTCCCTCACTGAGGGAGATCGCTTGTTTTCCATGCCATTTGGATAACACTTTGCAATGAGGAATTCCTGGCTCATCCATAAAAGCATCCATCTGCGTAGCGCTAACAGCACATACATTGTTTCGAAAATGAGTAAGAAATGGTAGTTCCTTATCGCAAAATGTAGTCCATTTCAAAGCCTGCTTTAAAAAATTGGCAAAAGTATCTCCGGTTGATTACAAATCTTTAGATTCCGTAAGGATGAATCCAATCTTGTAAAAATTGCAAGAAACTAATTTGACAGATGAAATGGTACAAAATTCAAATTGTAATTCCAACTCAGCTTCATTGCAACATGTCCCTGAGGACCATCCCACGAGGGGGGGGGGGAGGAGGAGCTAAAAAACTGTTTCCTTCCAACAAAATGAATTGATTAAGATACACATCTCCTGGCAATTGTCAACCCCCCTTACCTCTACATCTTCTCTCTTTTCAAAATCTGCTTTCAACTCTCATGGAATCGATTAGAGTTGTTTTGTTTACTTACTAGAAACCCATATGTGCTTTTGTAACCCGGTCTCTCGATTTGTAGATTTAAATAACGCGCGGTTGGGTCCCTCTGGTCCTGGGGCATGTCGATTAGTTTCTCTCTACACGGAGTCAGCCAATGGGGAGAAGGCGTTTGGCGTTGCCTGGGGAGTGGGAGGCCCGGCCGCCATTCAGTCTTTTGCCGTCTTATCTCTGTACTTCTTGAAAGTTCTCAGCTTCCCTTTGAAAAGGTGGGGCTTCGGCCCCATCTATTATTATTCCACTACTGAGGCATTCCAAGCCCCGCTTCACTTTGCATGTATGTAGCAATCTGCACCAACTAATTGACGGGAACAATCGCTAGGAAATCCCACCAAAGCTTAAATACATTGAGCTGAAGGCTCCTATCTCCCTGCTTTCTTGAAAATTGATAAGGGAAGTTTTAATTTTACAAGTCAAGGTGCTCGGAAAAATGTTGTTATGATTTTATAAAAATCCATAAGACCAGAATATTTATGAGTGAATCAAGATAACAAGTAAAATTCTAATCATATGTGGAATTCATACTCCTAAAGAGTAGTTACATTAATAATTTGTGTAGTGTTCGATGTTGTAAAATGTATGCATCAGTGGGTAATCATTCCTGGTGAATCATTATTGTTCGAGTTGAGCTCATGAGGGCTTTGCTGGTGAGGGACAAGAGGACTTTAGATTTTTAAATTTTGAGGTTATGCTAAACTCGAAACAACCATTATGACAATGCTACCATTTGAGAGAAGACATTTAATGATGCCGTTTTTCCCAGATGACCTTTGGTAGCACAGAATTTTGAGCTTATTTTTCCTACCATATTTTAAAGCTAGGGAAATTTTTTCAATTTCGATCCAAGAAAGTTAAAAACGCTCAATAATTAATGGAACCTATGCAATCGGTCAAGGAGGAACTTGTTATCCATTCCTTGTTGCCGTTATTCCCAGATGACCATCCGCAGCATGGATTTTGAGTTTATTTTTCCAATAATATTTTGACATCTGGAGAAAACTCAAAAAAAGTTGAGGGAAGAGATTAGTCTCAAAATGGTAGAAAAAGTAAATTCCTGGTTTCTGGAACATATTCTCTAATTTTCTCTAAACATTATGTTGTGCGTTTGGTTCAAAATGGTGGCTGGTTACACACCGAAAGATTCCCTTTGGAAAACGCTTTTTTTGCGATTTCTTCACAATTGGGGACGAATGCTAATCAGAAAAGTGTAAGGAAACGCCAGATTCGTATAGTTGACCCAAAAAACCTGAGGCAGGAAAAAAGGAGCTGTGTACCCAAACCCGAAATGTTAGCTTCACCAGGAGTCTAGACTACCTGACGAAAAACAGGTTGATTCTTCACGGAATGGGCCTGTTACACACTTCAGCGAGAGCAAAAAGATGAGTTATATCTCAGAGAAAATGGCTTAAAAATCAGGATGACCGCATCAAAAGAGTCTGAATTAACTCTGAACTTCATCATCTGCGTAAGAGATACGTGTTTTTTTAAGCTTCCCGCTTCAAAACGATACTATCACACGTGTGAACATCTCGCAGGAGGAGTCGTTCCAACCAACCCACTATGGTCTGGGGGCGCCGAATCGTGGCCATAAATCAGGAAATGATCAGAATATCATGAAATTTGGTGTACTTATGTTTTTTGGGTCGCTGAATTCAAATCTGACCTCAGTTTTAAAAAATTCTGAAATCCAAGATGGCGGCAGGCCCTTGAAACCAAAAAATTAGAAGAAAAGCCAAAATATGATTAGAATACCAAACTGAATGTCAGTTTAATGTTTTGAAGGTTGTCTCACTATAATATGAAATCTATTTTTCAATGATCAAGAGGTTATCAGGGCAGAAGCCCCAAAAATACGTATTTAATCCAGAAAAATAAGAGGAGAAGAAATGATTGAAATTGAATCAAGTCAGTACTATGTTTTTCGGTCTATTGATCCTGACTGGAGCGTAAGTTAAAAAATTGCACATTCAATATGGTGATATTCGTGTTAGCAAGACATATGGCATTAGCCCTTTAGGGCGCCCCCTCCCCGAACCAAAAATTGTCCCTAAAAATTTTCATTTCTAGCGATTTTTTAAAAATAATTTACTCTTTGATCATCAAACCCTGCTAGCAAAATTTTCTAGATATACTCAATACTACTTAGACCTAAATAGCTTTGACATTCTTATACTCATTGGAGGCTGTCAACCATTCTGCGCTGATTTTCATGGTTANGGCAATGGGATCGTGCTCATAATGGGACACACGGACCACGGGGTGTGCGCGAGGAGTTGCATCTTGCATCATGGTCAGGCGCGCGTAGAATGTCACAGCGCGTGCAAGCGTGCCGGCCGGGCGTTGGCAAACCGGCAGAATTCCGAGTCGTGTCTTGAGGATGGATAACCAGGCTGGGCCCCTGATCGGCAACAGGGAAGTGTTGAGAATGGTCACAAATGCAGGAATGGAACAGTTGTAGATTCTTCGTCTGCTGCGGTAGAACATGCCCAGTTTCGCCGCGAGTCGTGGTGGCTCTTAGGATGTGTTGTCGTTGCTCTGGCGTTAGGGTTTAACTCGATTTCTGCATGAGCTCCAGGAAGCATGGCTTTTTACATAAAACAGGGCTCATGTGGAAATAAACATACGCCCTCACGATAGAGGGGTGACGGTATGTCCGGTTGCAGATAAAGCTCGGCGCCGCACTATGGTCTGGGGGCGCCGAATTGTGGCCAAAAATCCGATTTTTGAAAGTACGAAAATCTGCCAATCGAGCATATAATCCTTATCTACATCCTTTAGTAGGTGTGAAATGACCTATCAAATCTTATGTAATTGTTTTTACGATCAGATATATGGTGGCGAACTTCACATCCTCCGAGGTAAGTAAAGAAACGTGAGAATTTAAAGTGCACGTTATCGTGTATTGCCTTGTGTCGTTTTGTGATAAGTTGGGGNTAATCGTGGCCAAAAATCCGATTTTTGAAAGTACGAAAATCTGCCAATCGAGCATATAATCCTTATCTACATCCTTTAGTAGGTGTGAAATGACCTATCAAATCTTATGTAATTGTTTTTACGATCAGATATATGGTGGCGAACTTCACATCCTCCGAGGTAAGTAAAGAAACGTGAGAATTTAAAGTGCACGTTATCGTGTATTGCCTTGTGTCGTTTTGTGATAAGTTGGGGTAAATCCCCGATCAAATATGGACAAGAAAGGTGAAAGTAATTACTTTTTGATGGTTTAATCGTTTTTAGTGTTAAGATTAATTTTATGACCACTATGAGACTCCAAAGTTTTGTCCTAATTTAGGCAAAAAATTGCCTTCACCTTAAGTTTTAGTTATCACTAACACGAGCTAACACGTTCTCATCAGTGCAAGAATGTAGCTCATATGTTCCTCTAACAGGATATCATAGGTTTTTTTGCATCTTTTTGCCTCTGGGGCCTTCAGACCCAGACCCAGATCAGACCCTAAAACCTTGCGGATTACTATTCTCGGGTTGCCTAGCCAGGAATTGAACTCGGAACCTCTTGATCTTAAAGCCAGCACTGCAACCACTACGCACCACAGCGGGCCGAGTTAATAAATTTGTATTATGTATACAGGCTGAAGAATAAAAAAAAATACCTAAGTTTTACCCACCATTTGTCGTTTTTCCGGAGAAAATATTATTTTGCTTAAAAATGAGGTTTTTTGCAAAAAAACTTTATTTTCCGGAAATCTGGCAAGTGCTGGAAAAAAACTGATATCATTTTCGGATTCAGCAGCCTAAAATACATATGAATCACCCTATTTCAAACGTTGACCTTGTCTCATCTCTCTTATCTCCTTCTGCAATGAAATCAGATTGCGCAGAAAACGTATAAGTCCTTCACTAAAATGACCAAAAAAGGCCCCAGAGGCAAAAAGCGGCAAAAAGCGGCAAAAAAACCGATGATATCCTGTTAGAGGAACATATGAGCTACATTCTTGCACTGATAAGAACGTGTTAGCTCGTGTTAGTGATAACTAAAACTTAAGATGACGGCAATTTTTTGCCTAAATCAGGACAAAACTTTGGAGTCTCATGGTGGTCATTAAATCAATCTTAATACTAAAAACGATTAAACCATCAAAAAGTACTTACTTTCACCTTTCTTTTCCATATTTGATCGCGGATCTACGCCAACTTATCACAAAGCGACACAAGGCAATACGCGATGACGTGCACTTTAAATTCTCACGTTTGTTTACTTACCTCGGAGGATGTGAAGTTCGCCACCATGTATTTGATCGTAAAAAAAATTACAGAAGATTTGATGGGTCATTTCACACCTACTAAAGGATGTAGATAAGGATTATATGCTCGATTGCCAGATTTTCGTACTTTCAAAAATCGGATTTTTGGCCACAATTCGGCGCCCCCAGACCATAGTGCAACCCTTGCGCACTAGAATGCTACACAGTATTCAACACGGCTGACGCTTCCGGGCGGAAATCACCATGAAAGAAACACCACACCATGAAGAAACCATGATCTTTATCAATGCAAGGAAAATGTAAAAGTAAACACACCAGTTGATAAAATTTTGTCTTGTCACGTGTGTTTTGGCAGGCTGACGTCGGGTAAGGTGGCGCGTTATTGGGTTTTTTTTTTTAATTTTGAAAACAGACTTTGCAAAATGGCGAAACGGTCTAAAAACAACGCCTGAATTTTCCTGAATTTTTTCGTCAACATTTGGACAAGACATTTGAACCTCCCGCATTGACGTAGAAGTCAAAATTTGCGGAAAAATTCAAATTTTTCGACGATAACATGGTAACAATGGGAAATACGACACAAATGCATGGAATCAAAGTTGTTGGAAATTGAATTGCCAGAAAAAACTTTCTTATAGTTTTTCTCTCGCGCGCAAGCATGCGAGTGCAAGCATTTCATAGTAAAATTCGAAAAACCCTCATTCTCCAGGAGATTTGGTACAACTCCTCGTTCAGTCCAGGAGAAACACAGAAGAAAGAGAATTAACTCGGAACAAATTGCGTAACAGACTTTTCCTACAAGAACATCATCATTAAGTTGACCTGAATAACACTCAAAATACAAAAATTTTGTCACGCCTCGACCATGGAATACTCCCTAAAATGCCTAAAATTCAAAACGGCCACCGTGTTCTAATTCTAAAGGATTAAGGTACTCTAAAATGTGCGTCTAGTGTAGTGTGAGGAGTCATCTTCTCTATAATTCAGGTTGTAAATTTCAAATATAGTGCCAAAAAGAAGCTCCTGGTCAAACAGGGTGCACTGAATCTAGCATCTAGCAATCTAGCCAACTTTGAACGGCAGGAGGGTAACTTTTACGTTTGGTTGTAATAAATTTTAAATTGAAATTAAGGTATCGATTTCTGTAAATAATATCGGTCAAGCAATTTAATAAGATGTTTAAGAGTTATTTTTCTTTTAAAAAACCTTTCATAAGACCTTATGAATGACGCCTGGTCAGGAGGGCTGCATAAAACTCTCAATCCTAACCGAATCTGAAGGTTACAAGGGTTCAAAATGGCGCTACATGATTCAAGTGATGATTTTAGTGAAAGAAGATAATTAAGGTCGTAAATTTCAAATGTGAGGTAGAAAATACCAAGCGAAGTCTCCAAAGCACAAGGTATATGACGTCTAAATTTAAAGGGCAAAATTGTAAATTTTGAAGTGTGATTATAAAAAATCTTCGAAAGTAAGGTACCTATCATATTTCAGCGTAATGAGTATCATTCTAAAAGTTTTATTAGATGTTCAAAATTTATTTTATTCTTTAATAAGACCTGAAATCGAAGATAATGCTCATTCGACTCATCGACTTCCTCCTTAGGAACAACCAATAAAACGACAACGTAAATAAGAGTACGATTCTAATTGAAACTGCTGGATGAGTGATCTTTACAACGCAGAGTCACTGCTAAAAGACAAAAAACACGATGAAAATTATTCACATCTCTGCATATTTTTCAGCATAATTTCAGAAAAAGTAGCTGTCAAATTTTGATTTTAAAGAATTCGACATATTCTGACGTGACCTGATGTACTTTATTCACATTTCAAATAAAAGAAGGGCCTGGTTCTGTGGGGAATAAACGGATTTGAAACACCGATATTACGCAGACATCGGTAACTCTCCGTTTGCAACGTTTCAGGCTTCATGTCATAGGTACTTTATTTTGAATTAAGCACTATTGAACATCAACTCAAAGACTTTTGTGATTCTTCCTCTCGGAGCGAAGAAAACTCTAAAAAAAACTGCTAGAAGTAGTGGTTATTTGTTATCTGTTACAAATAAAATAACAGTGGAGATTTTCAAAAACAGCAAACGAGATACATGGTTTGGTATCTACGAAATCAATATTCTATAATAAACTGATACCTCACTTGACTTGTCACACAAATGAGTATTTTACAAGTATACCCTCCTGCCGTTCAAAGTTGGCCGCCATGCTAGATTTGGTGCACCCTGTTCGACCAGGAGCTTTTTTTTGACACTATATAATTGAAATTTACGACCAAAATGACAGAGGAAATGACACCTCACCAAAGACACTAAATAACGTAGACCGTGCGTCCGGCTTGATTTGTACAGGCGAAGTGTGACAGGTTTCTCCGAGCCCCATGATGGGCGAGCAGGGAAGGGGAGAAAGCGTGTGTCCCAAGCGGTCGAAGAGACTACAAAGTGGCAATGGAAAATTCATTCACGCACTCGGTTTTTCGAGATTATCTCCTTTTGAGTCCATTTTCAGACAAAATTCCTAGGGAAATAAGTTTTTAAGCATACAATTTTTCAACCTAATTGCAAAGTTTCACTTTTCCGTACTAATAATAAACCAAGAAAAAAGCATCCCAATCTGACAGACATTCAATTGAGCCGTTACTGCGCTTGCGCAGATGTATGCAATTGGAACACACGAACTAATCGATGCAACCGATGCTACGTCTAGTGAACCATGCGAATTTTTAAAGTTATCTTGCCCTCTGTAACACAGGATGCTCGACTACTTAATTCAATGTTTTTGCACCTCACACTACACTAGACGCACATTTTAGAGTACCTCAATCCTTAAGAATTAGAACAAGGCCGCCCTTTTGAATTTTGGGCATTTTATGGAGTATTCCATGGTCGAGGCGTGGCAAACTTTTTGTATGCTGAGTGTTATTCAGGTCAACCTAATGATGATATTCTTGTAGGAAAAGTCTGTTACGCGATTTGTTCCAAATTAACTCTCTTTCTTTCGTGTTTCTCCTGGACTGAACGAGGAGTTGTACCAAATCTCCGGGAAAATAAGGGTTTTTCGAATTTTGCAATAAAGCACTTGCACTGAAAGTAAATCGATAAGAAACAACTTTTCTGATGGATTTTCTGATGGAAAGTAAATTTCTAACAACTTTGATTCTATGCATTTTTGTCTTATTTGCTATTGATGCCAGGTTATCTCCACCCTAACGTCGGCCCTGTTGAATATTGTGTAGCATCCTATTCTGCCCTGCTGAGGAAAAATGCCGTATGAACCTTCAGGTGTTGCCAAATTTCCTTTGATAAAACACGAATTTCCTGATAAACTTGTGCAAATTCTCCTTCCAATTTTTCAGATATTTTGTGCGCAATTTCACCTGAAGTTCCTGAAAATTTCAAGGAAAAATATTCATAACGTTCCGCAAAAGTAAACATTTTATCAAAGGAAGTTTGGCAACTCTCGAATATTCATACGGAGTTCTTCCTTAGCACGGTAATATTGTGCAAAGGTTGGCTGGAATGACTCCTGTCAGGAAATGTTCACCTGTGCAGTAGTATTATTTTTGAATCGTGATTTTTGAGCCATTCCCTAAAATTGACAACTCTTCTTTTTGCTCCACCTGAAGTTTGCAACCAGCCCATTGACCGGACCTTTGAAAAAGTACCTTTTTTGAAATAATTCAAAGAGAGATTGGTACATTTGCATGGTTCATGGAAAAAGAAGATTCGGGATTTTGAAACAAGTTCGACCCTGAAAAAGGAAACATTGAGGGACATATGAGTCTTGAACTTCCAGGAGACAAACTTTTGGTGGTAGAAGAACGTTGTTTAGGCTTTTGCAAAAAAGTTAAGAAAACTCTCCCTTTGAAGATAGGGTCTCATATCACAAATCTGGTCAAATAGATGCAGAAAATGTTCCACACAGCTACAAAGCTAAAAGTCGTATGCAAGATCCTCAGCACAGAGGGATTCAGACTTACCTTTGGTCCTGCTTCTTTCAGTTCGAGTTTAGTTTCTGGAATTATTTTCACATGGCAGCGACTGCGGACTTCCTCCGAAACAGATACAAGAGCTAGAACAACGAATATTAACTATAGGTTCAATTATACTACTTTTCAATGGTATCCTGAACTATGTAACTTCTGACAAACAGGTATAAAATATTGTATTATGAGTTGTTAAGGGTGATTACTTTAAAACCTGGCGAGGGAAAATTTTCATGTAACGAGAGTTAAAGAGTCAACTTTAGTAGTGCTTCATTTTCTAGCGTAAAGGAAAACAATGCTCATTGTGGACTAGCAAATATTTATACACCAGATCGTGCCTCATTTCGCTAATTTATATTGGATGGTGAATTTCACATAATTAAAGGATAGATCATAATGGAGAGAAAGGTTGATACGTCACATTAATGTTTACTTGCATCCTTGTCAAAGTTAATCTTTTTCTGGTCTCACATGTGGGTCTCAAATTCTCAATTTGATTCCTGTTGATTAGATTTTGAGATAAGTTTGAGTCCCTCTATGACTCAGAGTTGAAAATAAACTTCAAGATTTTTGTGTTTTAATAGCGATCTGAATTCACACAAATTTGAGTCATAAATAGTTGTGACACATCTAAATGTATTAATCTGGATTTCTTTATTTATTTTTGAAACCTCATAGGAAAGAGCAAATCCGGTAGGTAGGAAAACAGGCCGTTGGACAAAGGCATGAATATTGCCATGTTTTCGTGATATTTTAGCTCCAAGTTATGATTGTAAGGAATGCTAATATCGATGATGCCAGGGATACAATTTTGCTCATCAACAAGCACTGAGTACGGTCTGTTTGCTATGATGCTTTTGTCCGCTAAGACCGGATTATCCTGACAGTGGCTAAGAAGGTAATTTTCCAAGACTGAGGCAGAACTGCATCTGTAGTAGAGTTCATTATTTTTGCGGAGTTCCCAACATTTTTCACATCTAGGATACCTCTTTCACCCTACTTCGAGAAATATGTAAAATTGTAATTAAAATTACAGCATGCAATCCATACATTTTACATTTTTCTTCAGTATATTGGGGAGTCCGGCTATCACAGTGTTTGGAGACGGGCATGCTGAGCTCCTAGCTCCCTTGTCTCTCTTCTCATTTGATGAATGTTCAAGTTACATAAACCCACATTGTCGCAAAACCTACAATGTTATTCTCTCTAAAACGGCTACGCCGTAGTGATTTGTGTGAGTGGGTCAGTGGGTGCCATTCTCGGTATGGCAACCATGGGCGACCGCGAGAAACTAAGAGCTCAGACTGAAACGCACCCAACAACAAGTGTTCAATCAGGTGAAATGGTAACACAAAATACTCCTTCAAAATCTCCAAGAAATGCAGTAATTACTATTAATCCACAAACTAACTCTACTCTTTCTGCTGTATCTTTAATACCTTCTAAGTCTTTTGATCTTTTAACCCTAATATTTGACCACTTTTTATACATAGCTAATAGATACCGTCTATTGTACTGGTAGTTGTAGCATTACCAAAGAAAGTTATGTTTTCGAAAAAAGAAAAAGAAAAAAAGAAGGAAAAAAAGGTACATTGGACAAAACTGTAGCTTACGCCTCATGATGGCAGCAATTTTAATCTCCTTTCATCAGCAAAATCATGAGAGTTCCATATTAGATCAAAATACACTGATTAAACTTGCATTTACGAGGATCATCCAAAAAGTACAGTTCCTTACCTTGTATCATCCGAACGAAAAGAGATAAATCAAATCGGTAAAAAAGGCATTATCAGGCCTACTGTAAGCTTTAAAACAAGCCCAAGTTTTTGAAAATCGGTCAACGTTAGGAAACTCACTTTTACTGCGACAACCTCCTGTCGCAACGTGACCACCTCCAGAGTCAGGATTCCCGGAGAGTCAATCATTTCAGACTCGGGTAATTGCCGCTGAGCATCATATCAAAAAGGAAGTTTTTGGTGAGTAGACCTTGCCTCTTTTTTTGACGTAGTCTCCACTTCTGTTTTGACATTTCTGTTATTGATATTGAAGCTTCTTGATGTCTTTTGCGTTGAGGCTCTTGTTTGGCACCAAAACCAGTAATTTATAGCACTCTGCACTTCCAATCAGTTGCTTTGCAAAAGAAAATTTTCCCCATTCTCCGTACTTTCTCGGTTTAGCCTCATGTGACTTTCATCTGTTCCCTGAGCTGAAAAATTCCTCGGTGGAAAAAGGTTTCCGACTGATTTGGAAGTGCAGAGTGCTGTCAATGACTAGTTTCAGTACCAGAACAAGGACCTCTACACGGAGGGCATCAAAAAGCTGCAATATTGACAACAGAAATGTCAAAATAGAGGTGGATACTGCGTCAAAAAGTGAGGTACAGCCTACTAAATAGAAACTTTTAAATTCCTTTAAGATGGATGCTTAGCGGCGATAACCCAAGTCTGAAATAATCGACTCTCCACACATCCTGCTCCGGAGGTGGGCACATGGCGACAGGAGGTTGTCGCAGTAAAAGTGAGTTTCCTAACGTTGACCGATTTTCAAAAACTTGGGCTTGTTTCAAAGCTTACAGTAGGCCTGATAATGCCTTTTTTTACCGATTTGACTTATCTCTTTTCGTTCCGATGATACGAGGTAAGGAACTGTACTTTTTGGATGATCCTCGTAGATGTAAGTTAAATCAGTGTATTTTGATCAAATGGAACTCTCATGATTTTGCTGATGAAATGAGATTAAAATTTCTGCCATCATGAGGTGTAAGCTACAGTTTTGTCCAATGTATTGTTGTGTAATGTATTGTTCTACAAGGTGGATGCGACGGGCAAAATTCAACAAAATCGAAAACTTACCTGCCAAATATGCAACATTTTCTTGAGTAACTTCGAATTTATCTTTTTTTTGTGGTTTGGCAACTATTCCTAAGAGTGAGGTGAGTATCCGTGTTGTCCTAGATACACTGTTTGGGGTAGGATGACGATAACCTTTCAACAGATGTCCAACTAAGGCAAAATGAAAATTGGCCCGAAAACTGAGCCCAACAGCATGGTCAAGTTGCTTAAAGTGCCATTCTAAACGCTCTCTTATGGGCATCATCACAGACTCGATGGTCTTATCGTCAAAATTACCCTGAGAGTCTAAAGTATGAATGTTCTGCTCCAGTAACGCCAAGCCAGCAGCATATAAGTTAGTGTCATCTAACTGGAGAACAAAAATACTGACCCAAAACAAGGCATAATGAATGACCGATTCTGGTCTCAACAGAGGCTGTAGCCTTGTTAAGCACATGACAATAGCTTCAATTAATGTTATGTCTGTGAAAGACTCTAATGCTTTCACCAATATTCTTAGTAGCTGTTTTACTTCTTGATCAGTTATACTTTTGCTTATACAGCCGAAAACAATTAATGCTCGTGGCTGCAAGGCAGGATTGTAACAAAATGCAAAACTTTTGGCAAGAGAAGTCCAACATTGAAGCCAATTACACTCTGGAATATCTTTCATGCATGCTTCCATAATTTCCAGTAAAGCATCTGTGATGACCTCGAGTGATGTCAGTGATAGGCGCTCACGATCCATGCCAACACTGCTAAAGTGTCGTTCAGATCCTAACCTGAAAAGAAAATTAAGCGAATATATAGCTTCAAATTAATACATTTGAATCCTCATTAGTTGCAGCACTTTGATGAAGAGCTTGTTCTGCATTTTTCCAGCATTGCAAAAATTCCTTCTTACACTTTTATCTCATAGATTAAATACATTGAAAAATTTGTGGAAGTGACCTGTTTTCTATTTTTCCTTGCAGCCTTGGACTTAATCTGACCCAAAATAACCAAGAAAAAAGCCTAGTGAGGGTCGTCTGGGTTATCCTGTTTAATATGAAAAACATGAATAGATCATTTTAAAAAATCAGCCTGAACAAAGTATGATGAAAGCTATGGAGATTACATACAAATTTAAAAATCCGTACAATACAGGGTTATGACTCATTCTTTTTACTATCTTTTGAAACATCATTGTTTTGCCTATTACTATTTCAATCAAGTTTAACTTGAGGATGGCCTTTGACGGATCATTAAACAATGATTGAAAGTAAAGAAAGAGCAAAGGGGAGAGAATAGAATTTAAAAAATAAAAGACTTACATGCGGTCATTAGTGTGCCTATAGCTGGAGCGGAATGCTGTGACCGCAGCTGATTTGACTTTGCTAATTCCAAAAAGCAAATAAAATTTCGGCAGAGAAAATTCCACTAAACTGAGTCGTAAGACGCTCTGTGCTTTTTCCGTGAAGAGAGGTTGTGTGCAGGTACAAAGAGAGTGAATAATGTTGATAACCAAACCATGAGTAGCAGCACGCATACTTAATGAGCCAGAGCATACAAGAAGAGTAACAGCGTGAAATAAGAATGGCAAATGCAGAGCAACATCTAATGAATTATTGAATGATAACATTAACAAATAACGATTCAGAATTGCAATATCGTCCCATAAATTATGTACTTCAAGGGTGGGTTGTGGGTTGGAGCAAGTTTTGTCAAGGACCTGAAACAAACAAATCAAAAAAGTAAGATTTATTAATACATTACCAAAAAATTTACTTTCTCTTTTTCGAAATATCATTAGAAACTAATTCATACTGCGAAATTTTGATTAGGTGGATACATACTCGGTTAGGTAACTGTGTGCAGTTTTCAAACTTTTCAGTGCAGCAAGCTCTGCAAAAACCATTGGCATTTCTTTACTAATGGACCTATTTTAAATTTTTAAAGTTAATAAAAAGGTACACTAAAAGGTACATTTAAAGAAGGGGATAAAAAGGACTTCTTGTTTCCATAGAGGTCATGTAAACTAGCATACTCCTCTCGTTGAGAGGTATGAATGTAACGTGAAGAAATCGGTGATCACTCGTAGTGTGCGCGACTAAAAGAGCGTTACCTATCAGTGAAGATTGCAACAACACAGTCCAACTCGGTGGAGGCATGGCCGTGCTCCGAAAATCCGTGCTCTGTAGTGTCTGCCACAGTCTTTGATAAGACCTATCAGACACCAGCTGAGCCTTGCGGGAATATAGAGGTTACACAATGCGTTAATAATACGAAGTTAAGGAGCACAGTCCAACTTCGGGGTGCCTGACGGCAGTAACCAGTTGCCTTGGCCCCTTGTGGCTGTGTGTACTTACTTTTAAATGATTACTTTACTTATCTTAGTTACCACAGAAACTTCTTTACAGGAATACATCTATTCGTCTTCATTTCTGAGAAATTGATGCAAGTGCAAGTAAGATTAAATATGCTTGAATAAGGGTGAGTGTATGTATTAATTGAAATATTTTTTTATTTATTTATTTATCTATTTATTAATGATTTTGTGCATAACATCCAAGGTCATGGTGCAAATCATAAAGCTTATTATAAATATAGCTCACACGCTTGCAAAAGTATGGCGCACATTTTTAGCAAAAATTTGCACACATTGTTCACAACTTAGTATACAGGGGATTCCTCTATGTTGCAAACACAGCCATTTGCCATGAGTTTATGGATCACTTTAAAAAATACATTTTCAGTCTCAGACTGATTAATGTTGGCAGGTGACTTGTCTATCTACATAAAATTGCTGTGCTGGCTCACTATGCCCCCCCCCTCCCCCTAGTAAAAAGTTGGCCGAAGCGATTTTCTTTAAACTTGGTACATGCTTCGGTATTGTCATGAGGAGTTATTCAAAATTCTTTTGATTTGAAAACGTTGCCCAGGACGCCCGCAAGAGCGAAAAGTTGATTCTTCCTATAGTAATGCATTGGGGATACAATGTTGTTGACACGCACCGCTCTGAACAGGATGAATCGTGTCGTCACAGCACCACCACTGTGTGCCTCTCTCGCGAAATTTTCCATCCCTTTCCTTTCACGTACATATTTCCTAACAACTGTCTCCCATTTTTAACCATTTGTTTATGTTCCATCTTATGGGTCATTCGCCTCATTGGTTGTATGTTTCTTTGACTTCCTCTCTTTTTCCTTTCTCCTTTGTTTTCGATCGATTATTGTGGAACGACATACTGGGAGGTATTTTTCGACAGGAAACTCGAATTTTTATTCAGATTTTCAAAATTCAAAAATCCAAGATGGCGGACGTGGTCGAAAATGCTATCTCGTTTCCTGTCCCATCAATTTTAGTGAAATTCGGAGCTGCTGGGTACATTTCGATGGGAGACTCGAATTTATGGTCCGATTTTCAAAATTCAAAAATGCAAGATGGCGACCATGGCTTAAATTTATTTCTTGGCTCTTGCATTTTCGATTTTTGTGCAATTTGCTGAAAAAGAAGATGAAGACGAAAATGTTGTCTTCTTATTAAAGTTAAAAGCTATGAGGGCCGACTCGCGGAACGAGTCGCAAGTTCATTGCGAAGCGAGGAACCAGGGTTCCAGGGGCACTCTGCGGCTAGGCGTGACAGCTCGCAAAGCAAGCTAATCACGGCTAGTTAGGTGTAAAGCTTGCCACCTTTTACACATGGGGCCCATTTTACATATCTTTCTTCGTCTTTTCCGGCTGTGCGTCATTGTAATTGTGCATACTTGAGAAACACGCAAAGTCATTTACATCTTCTTTTACATATTTAATGCCTTCCTTCAAGTACAACTTAGGTAAAGTTATCAGAACTCAAACCCTGAAATGTTCTCTGCAAGACTCTCAGTGATTCAAATCTATTGTGCATCGTACTATTTTTTTCTACCACCTGAATACATGAATACATAAAGCGCCCTTTTGGTATTGGAAAACATCACTGCTGAGAAATGGATAGACTGGAGCATAATATGCCATTTTGAGTAGTTCCAAACTACTACTTTTGCGATTCTGTCTTACATAATAACAGAAAACAGATAATTTACTTCAAATATAGGCTGTAAGATGGTAACATGACAATTCATCATATATTATTAAGCCTGACTGTTCAGCCGAGTTCACAGAGCCAAACCCTCTTTCTTCCGACATTTCTTTGCTAATATCCGTCTCTTTCTCCGTACGTATCAACAAAATCTCAGTCTTGTTGATGTTCAGACATATTTGATTAACATTGAAGTAGGCAAGGATTATGCGGTAGACCTTTCAGCATTTTATCAGTTGTGATGTAGCCTGTTACGATGAGAGTTGTGTCATCAACGTGTTGTGCTGAATCCACGCCTAATAAACCAGCTACCGGTAATATTTAGTCATTGACATACAACAAGAATGGCAAAGGTCTTAGCACACTACCCAGCAGAACTCAAATGGGCACTTCCTTCTTCTCCAACTTTATTGCGCATTCTGAACTATTTAGTTGCACGAACTGGCTTTGTCCAATCAGGTAGTTAGCTATCTATATATTTAATATCCTGAGGCTTTTTTTGTCCTCCTTCACTTTGGACAGTTTGTCCGAATTCGACCTCGGAAACTACTGGCCCGATTTTCCTCGGATTTGTTTGAAATGAAAGCTCTTAGGCTGCAGTTGTGCAGGCACCCCTTGGTTTTTCGATTTGCGCGACCGATGTTGCAAAATTTACCTCAATTTGATAACGACATGTTTGCCTTTTTGCCGCTGGACAGTTTGTCCTAATTCGATCTCGGAAACTACTGGCCCGATTTTCCTCGGATTTGTTTGAAATTAAAGCTCTTAGGCTGTAGTTGTGCAGGCACCCCTTGGTTTTTCGATTTGCACGACCGATGTTGCAAAATTTACCTCGATTTGATAACGACATATTTGCCTTTTTGCCGCTGGACAGTTTGTCCTAATTCGATCTCGGAAACTACTGGACCGATTTTCCTCGGATTTGTTTGAAATGAAAGCTCTTAGGCTGCAGTTGTGCAGGCACCCCTTGGTTTTTCGATTTGCGCGACCGATGTTGCAAAATTTACCTCGATTTGATAACGAAATATTTGCATATTTGCCGCTGGACGAGTCATATGGTTGGGGGACCTCCCACCCTCTGATTTTCCGTTTCCCTCTCCACGTAAACCCATCCCTACCTGCTGTTAACACGTGTCACCCTTCTACTCTGGCATGGGTCCTGTGGCAGTATCCCTCCCTTCCTTATGCCGTCTGACTCGGAACACCAGCTACACATTTCCTCCGTCGCATTGCTCATGATCAGTTCTCGGTTTGTCCAAGTTTCTTATTAGTGCGTCTAGAGATTCGCTTTCTTGATTTTGTCTTTAGTTTTTTTTTACATGAAAATTACTTAATTTTGATGTGTATTTTTCAGAAGATAATTTTCCTTTTTACGGCAGCACAGGTTTTATTAATAATTAACTTTTTTACAGCAGCTCATGTGTTCTTCCAAGAGAATCGGTAATTAATGTTCACCCTTTCGCACCGTTAGATGTTCACAAAGTGTTTTGATTTTTTTTCTAGGAGTGTTTTTTATTTTTCAAGGATGTTTCTTTTTCTAGAAGTAGGTGGTCATCATTCTTAGTTTCTTATTCTTTGTTTTTGAATTTATCATTTTGCCTCCAGGAAGTCCACTAATTAATTGCAGCAGCAAAATTTGGCCTGCTCCGCGAGTGACTGTGGGTCCAGGGGGCTTGCCTCCGGCTAGCGGCGCAAGCGAGTGTAGCGAGCTGAAGCAGCTAGTCAGCTTTAAAACCATGTCACCTATTACAAATTAATTCAGCTAGTTCATAAAAATGTATCTTTCTTAAAACCCTCTACAGAACAGTTAAATATCTAATTCACACAAAAAACTGAGAGGCTTGAGTTGTGTCTCATAAGAAAAATAAACTCATCATCATTAAAGTAATTATTATAACAGTAACTCACTCGACAGAGGCGTCCGATTATTTTTTTTGCCACGAGCTGAACATTTGCCGAGGCCAAAGCAACTGCTGTATCTGCTAAAATTTCAACAACCGGAGAACCGACACCACTTTCACCACTTCTCTTGATAAAACTGTCAAGAACCATGTCGATCAATTCTGGGACCTAGAAATAAGAGTTGGAAACTGCTTTACTTGGTCAGCAGAATTGAAGTAAAATTTAGATAGCTGTTCTAAAAGAAGGAAGTAAATTAAAAAAAAAAAATAAGGACTTCTTCTATGAAATGGGGTAAACAGGCTTACGTTCATTTTAAGGAGAACATATTTTCTGGATCTTTATACCATTAGGTATCTAAAGGTACGTAGCTTTTACATTTCTGTGAATAGAAGTGATGGAGAGATCATTGAGTGAGGGAGGGATACCAATGAGGTGAGTGAAAAAACGGCCAAAACTGCCTCAACGCATTTTCGAATATTGAACGCTTGACGTGATGCAGTAGCTCCCGACAGGGGTGCAGAAAGTTCTTGGCCTTCCCCAATTTGTAATTTGCATTCCCTAAAATTTGCTGTTTTGCTAGAATTGCATAAAACAGCGTACATAAAATAGCGCCCTTAACAGCTTCCTTCCCCAAAAGCAACGTGCTTGAAAGTTTCCTTCCCCAAAAGCAGCATGCTGAAAAGGCATCTAACACAAATAACAATTAGTCCAGTCATTCTAGCCGAAAAAAGGGTCTAACCTCGGACAAATTAGCACAAACTTCTCTTGTGTTTTAAAGCACTCCAAAACATGTCTAGAGCCCCCCAAAAAAAGTTTACCATTAGCCCCCCTCGGGAACACAGTCAAAATTGCGTAAAACAAAATGGCGGCCGTCTGAAATTACGTATAAATTGATTCTTGACTTCGTCAGCGTTTTCCCGCTTTTGCATAATTCTAGTGCATCCAGTGAAAAAAATCATTCTTGTCGTTTTTTTAGAGGATAAAATTTTGCTTACAAATATATATTAGTTTTTTTAATTTCGACTTGTTGGTGCCGAGCTACAAAGTCCGACACCGAAAAAAAAGGCTAGAATACTCTTGAAAGAGCGACGCCAAGAATGGCACAATTTGAGCCAGAAGGGATTTTTCTGAAACCGGGCCCAAACGATACCTTATGATACCCTAAGACTCTGGTAAAAATTTTAGCTTGAGTATACGCACGGTTTTTGAGAAATGAGGGGGCAAAGTTGCCAAATCGCCATCATTCTGGACAACATTTCTACAGCAAAAAGACGGGAAAGATGGACGAAAAAGTTACACCTTTGATGAATTTCGGCTGTACATGTTCTCATTAGGTTCCCGAGCATTTAACTGTGTTCAGTTTCAAAAATTTTGGTCGCACAAAGGTCCAAAATGGGGAGAAATCGTCGACAAATCAGGATTCTTTGTCAAATTTTTAGAAATGGAAGTAAAATTGTCGGTCTACTGCAGTTTTCATGGCTAACAATGTTCTCATCGGTCATCAATGCATGAAATTGTGTTCAGCTTCACAAATTTACATCGCACAGTGGTCAAAAATGAGGGAATTAGTGGACAAATTAAGATCCTCTGTCAAACTTCTTAAAAATGAAGTGAAACTGTTGGTCCCCAGTAGACTTTAGATCCCGGAAAAATTCAT